CCATCGGAAATTCAGCCACCACAGCCGGGATTCGATCCCGCAACCTGCGGGTCAACAGCCGAGTACCTTAGCCACTATAGACCACCGCGGCAGGGCAGTAGTTTCGCTAATATTTAGTGTGATTCGTGAGTCTGAGAAAGCCACTGTTCATAAAGTTTGAAATGAACACTCCATGGGTGACGGCATACCGCAGCCGTCGGGCGAGTACGCAATATATCGGCATGGCTCCTAACAATATTTCTTCGCAACAATAAGGCCCCGCCGCAGTGGTCTAGTGGCTAAGGTACTCGGCTGCTGACCCGCAGGTCGCGTGTTCGAATCCCGGCTGCGGCGGCTGCATTTCCGATGGAGGCGGAAATGTTGTAGGCCCGTGTGCTCAGATTTGGGTGCACGTTAAAGAACCCCAGGTGGTCAAAATTTCCGGAGCCCTCCACTACGGCGCCTCTTTTAATCATATGGTGGTTTTGGGACGTTAAACCCCTCATATCAATCAGTCAATCATTCGCAACAATAAGCATTTGGCGTCAATGAAAAATGATAACCTCAGCGGACAATAGAAAGGGAAGTGTAGACGGAGTGGTCAAGCAGGACACCCTAAAAAAATGGGAGTAAAGATCGAGTGCTGTTTGGGTGGTTATTTTGAAATGCACATCGAGTGCTAGAACAGTACCCAGACTATGATAGTGGCAGCAGTTCCTGTTGAGCAGCTATAGCCTCTTTCGGTTGCCACCAAAACGCACTGCACCGTCACGCAGCTTGAAACTTGGAGTTGAAGCAGCGCGCATCGTATCCTGACGAAGCCACCGCAGCTGTTAGGCATATGCGCATTCTGCCTAAAAGGTTTATTCCCGCCTGAATGAACTTGGAAGGAAGGTGATTGGGTAGAAGGCCGCTTCGATGTTCTAACTATACAATCGGTTTTACAGAATTACGATTCTGAATTACCGCCGAGAGAAGCGGATTATTTCCGAAGCCCTGCATGGTTTGCGTCCTGGCATTCTGATGTACCGCCTAGATCGTACGTATACCGTAGGCCAGAGGTCAACAACATTTTGAGCAACAGAGCCAAGTTGCGTAATACAGACATGGTGGTGACTCGACAGCCAATCTGGAGGGGGGAAGGAGGGGGAGGGCTTTGCATTCAAATAAAAAAAATTGTGGCTAATTTACAACAATGTATATGTAGAGAAACATGAGTATAAATCAAACTGGAATAGAGATCATGTGTATTTTATACCAAAGGAGCTTCTTTACAGTCGAGATAGGAACTTCAGTGGAGATAGAAAAATACAAAAGGAGGGAATGGGGATCCTGACAGTCGTGCAAGGCGGCTGCATCGTATGATGTCGACGCCGTGGGCAAGCGACAGCCTGAAGCATCGTTGTACAGGCCGCATGCAAGCAGGTATGAACTAAGTGGTGTGAGCATGAATTATGTCACGACCATACAGTGCAAATAACGTGTCGATTTCAGCACGAGAAACAAGCAAGCCACTCAGGAGGCCTAGCAGCTGTGATGGCCTGATATTATATCATGATAACGAGACTTCAGTTACTATGATGGCGGGCGATAAGCGGGAACACTCATTTGCTTAGTTCCATGCAGACAAAGGCAAGCTGAGGGGGCTAGCTTGAGCCTCTTCTTTCCTTCTTTTTATTCGACGTACCAAAATACGGGCGATACGGGTGCCAGAAACATAAACGAACAAATTATGGCACACATTTATTCTACGCAGCGCTTTGTCCTGCTTTCTTTCTTGTAGTGTCGTTTCGCGCCAAAAGAATCGCTACGGATTTAAACCAACCAGCCCGCCAACGCATTGTGTTTCATGTATACACCTCGTCCTTGCACTACGTTCCGAGCGTATCTCAGTGAGTCAGAAAACATCCTCCCCCCCCCCCCCCCCGGAGAACCATGTGTACATCTGTTCTATCCGTTACTTATTCATGGTGATATAGGTTTAGCGTAGCCGCTCCTTAATCGGTCACAGCGCTTTGCGTAAAGTGACACTAATGAGACAAACGACTTTTATGTATTTTTCTAGATTTTTTGTTTAACAACAGCAAATGCACAACGCCGACGGCGAAGAAACGTTTTGTAATGAGAAATCGCACAAAAAGAGTGCACGCGCTGGCGCCTCTTCAAAGTTCCGGTGCCATCTTACCGTGACGTCACCAATTTTGACGGTGTCTGTCAAGACCTGCACCGTTATTAATCTGTAAAAATGAAGTGCATTATCCACTCACGGAGCAATACACATAACGCACGAGCTTTCAAGAAGTTATTTGAAAAGAAAAAGAAATAAAGACAGTACCCAATCGGCTTTATACCACACAATGTGGAACACTGGAGTGTTCTTCCATGTCAGAGCACTGACGACTGCCGCCCGCAGATTTATAAATTATTTGGTGTAACTTTACACAACCAATAAAATGAGTTTAGTTTGCTCCAGTATTCGTAAATTTCGGGCAATTTTTTTTTTCATGTGACATGTTTAGGTCTGATATTTGAAGTCTCACAATTGCATGAAGGACGCCGTATTGGCGATCTGCTTTCCACAACCCGGGGTGGCCCCGCCGCGGTGGTGTAGTGGCTGAGGTACTTGGCTGCTGACCCGCAGGTCGCGGGATCGAATCCCGGCGGCATTTTCAATGGAGACGAAAATGCTGTAGACCCGTGTGCTCAGATTTTGGTGCACGTTAAAGAACCCCGTGTGGTCGAAATTTCCGGAGCCCTTCACTACGCGGCGTCTCTCATAATCATGTGGTAGTTTTGGAACGTTGAGCCCCCCGGATCAATCAATCGACAACTCGGGGTAGTTATTCTCAATTGACAATTTATTGCGTCACTCCATTTTTCATACAGACCAGAAGCAGAAAGACGTGCGTAGTGCGTAACGTGCGCAGCAACCACCACAACTTCCGCGTGTATACTCATGAAAGTCCATGCAAAGACAAAAAAAAATCTGTGCAATGAAAAAAAACACAATAAGGAAGGAACACAATGCACTGTGAAACCGATGACTAGATGAAAAAAAAATTCCGATAATTGCCGGTGGAGCCACAGTGTCACGGCTCTTTTTTTTTTTTAATAGCGCTAAATCTAAACATGGTTGTACATGCATATGGACTTTTGCAGTGTTGGAGTGACGTAATAAATGATGTCAGTTGAGAGAAGGTCTTTGTCCTGTATTTTTCTTGTGGTTTAAAGGGGTGTTGTCTTCTTTATTTTGGTGTCGTTTCGCGCTAAAAAAATCGCCATGGTATATTCACGCTAGAAGAGACGAGACTGACAGGTAACCACGTCAGTTGCTGTAATACGAATGATAATGGCTGAAATTTCGAAACACAAGTTTTACACTGAAAGAATGAGTACCGCAACGAAGCAATGTCCCAAACATATGCGAAACATATTAACAATCATGATATTAACGGAGCAGCGCGCAAAAGGCATAGTCAAGCGCACACACACAAATTAAGCGAATATACCCAAGCGCAAACACAGCCCTTGTACTTGCACCATTTCTATGTGTACATGTATTCATAATTCTAAAAGGGCGTGACGTCCCAAAACCACGACATGATTGTGAGAGACGCCTTACTGAAGGGCTCCGGAAATTTCGACCACCTGGGATTATTCGAAGTGCACCTAAATCTAAGCACACAGGCCCTTTCACCTCCATCGAAAATACGGGTGCATAATTGTATCATTTAGCGTGCAGTGCTTAAGCAATATTATGACTCACTGACATATTAAACAATAAAAGCATCCCCTTTTATCACTGTCGCAGTTACAGCGAGTGCAATAAAGCAATATTACCGCGAATACCAGCGGATATGCAACGCAGTGATGCATCGTTCGTTCGATGGAGGCGGAAATCTTGTAGGCCCGTGTACTCAGATTTGGGTGCACGTTAAAGAACCCCAGGTGGTCAAAATTTCCGGAGCCCTCCACTACGGCGTCTCTCATAATCAAATAGTGGTTTTGAGAAGTTAAACCCCACAAATCAATCAATCATGCATCGTTCGTTCGAGCGACAGTTGCCGGCGATTTTTTGGTTCGGTTGTGCTCTGTAAATCTCCGAAAGGCGTGAAAAATGACGCGTTTCCGTTTATAAGTTTATTCGTAAGCGAAAAAACGAGCGAAACTATCAGCCGTGCAGCAGCAAACGACACGTCAAAGCAGTCCGGTTAATGTTTAGCATAGAAGTGTCAAAATTGGCGGAGGCCCCTAATTGACAAAGCGCTAATTGACGAGCACCTACGCCGCTCGTTTCGCAACACGGTAACCTTCGACTGACCTACAAGCAATAATTTGGTGCAGTCTCATGATTTCCGAGGGTGGACAATTGCAGCTACTTGGATTCTACTAAGGATTAGTCAGAGCTTGTTTGAGCTCGCAGCTGAAAAAAATAGCATCCGATTTTATTATCTCGCGCAAATGCGCGCATCAAAATACCACAGTAAAGCTTTTTAATCAGTTAATATATCGCATCGTACTTCTAACATTACGAACTGAAAGCTCCCACAACAGCCAATGAGATTTCTTCTCTGTTTTTGTTCCCTTTCGGGCCAGGTATTTATCGAGTGCTAAGAATGAACGCCATTGCAGCGCGCTATGACTAGCAAATTATTCCTACACCTATAATAATTATTGTTCGGTTTAGCATCCCAAAAACCACGATATGATTATTACAGATGGCGCCGCGTAGGGTTCCGGAAATTTCTACCTCTTTGGGTTCTTGAACGTGCACCTTATTCTAACTACACGGGTCTCGATCATTCTTGCCACCGTCGATAATGTGGCCGCCGCGACCGAGATTCGATCTCACGACCTTCGGATCTGCGGTCGAGATCACACCTGACTTTGTTTGAAGCGTCTGTATACGACAGTGAAGAACCAACACGCGCGTCACTCACTCAAAGGTAAGCAGCCTGCTAACCGAAGGAGGCGGTAAATATACGTTCGGATTGCGAATGTGAAGACTTAAGAAATCTTACCAACACTACCATCGACGACGACGTCATCGACGAACCTGGGACGCGAGCCTGTGTCCTTAGCTCGAGGGTAGTCCACGTGAACGCAGAAGCAGCACACGATAACTCAATCCAACGTAAGTACACCGCCGCCCTACCGTGCCCCGGGCAGGCACGTTGAAAACCGGTAAGCGTGAGAACCAGGCACCGCTTGAAAGGTTGGTCACAGCACACAAAACAAAACAATCGCCGCGTTAAATCCAATGCACGGAAGCGGCAATCACACGCTGCAACTGTCGAGCGTCGTCGCACGTGAAGTACGGGTGATCTCTGTCACGTTCAGGAAGGAGCGCGCGCTCTGCATTTCAGTCGTGCCTCGGCGCAATCAGATGCAGCACAAGAAAGCAATCACAATTCACTGACGTCCCAAGCACCGAACGAATACACACCACCACTCGAAGCGAGGAAAGAGGACAGTATGAGGTTAGCGGTAGCAACACCAACAAATAGAACGGCAACGATGATCCCGTCGCTACAGCTTGTCTCTCTTTACTACTCCGGTGAGTGACAGGTACCGCTGTGCTTTCCGGGTGTCCGCGAAAAAAAAGCAGATCATCGACGCACGTCCGAGATGGCACGATGGGCAAGACGTCTGTCCGAGATCAACGTGACACTGCCGGACGACGTCAAAACGGTCGCGAACGAGTCGACGACTACAAGGCGCGCACAACGCCGGAGGCAGACATGGTCCACCTTGACGGCTGCTGAACTTCAAAAGGGGCGGAGCGTGGCGCCGGTTTCACACACCAGCTGCGGCTGCAGCGGTGTGGCGTGCGGCCATGCTGCCCGTGTGGACTCCGAGCTGCGACTAGCGCGGAGGCGCGCAAAGCCGGCGTCATACAGTGGCGCCGCCGCTGCCGGCGACTGGGGAGCGTTCCATTCGCCAACACAGGGGAGAGGTTGCGCGCGCGAGGTACTACGCCAGCACGCGGAGAGGCCGTCACGTAATAAGACGGTGAACAACCACGTCTTAATGCGGCGGGTTTTGTTTAGGTGCGAGAGAAGTGTTTTATTGACTGGTAGAATGCAGTAAATGAAGATTGGAACCGTCTGTGAGCATTGAAATCACTTCTGACGACTGGAACCACCTTGCGACTCTCATCGCAGACATTACTGATCATGAACATTTCCGAACGACTCTAACAGCAACTAATTTGCTTTGCCGGATGTTCTTTTTATCGTTCGTTATTTTTTAAACGTTAACCTGTGTTTTCATACCGTTTGATGCCACTCCTCTTCGTCATACCTCAGCCCTAAGTGTTCCATAAATAAAACGAAATGGTGAGTGCATGTGTACCAGGTTAACTACTCCATAGAAATGAAAGATCGAGCGAAACGAACCACAAGCTCGTCCGATGAGGGCCCTTGCGTTCTGAGTACTGTATAAGAATACCAACAAAACTCAATATCACAATTGCAGACAGCACATATCACGACGCTGTCCTATAAGGATGATATAAAAAGCCCCGCGATGTGTAGTCGTTGAACGCTTTCTTGGTTTAACGAATACGCAGCGCTCTCCATTCCACAACTTCAATGGAGAACCACTGTCATTTCCGTTTAGAGGCAGATCCACGTGTTCTAGAGTTCTAGCGCGAGAGCTACTTGGAAAGAAAGTACCAGTTTCGTGTAGCTTACATTTAATATACTGAATACGAATGTAGGTGACGTTATTGGCATGATTTGAAATAATTGTTAAGGACATAACTGTCCCACACTGTTATTTCTCTATGAAAAATCTGTAGAGTCATGGATGTATCGCATTGACATGTGCAACTGTATCATAGCTACGTGGGGTATAATTCTCCTTTTGTCATAAGTTATTTATCCGGGTGTAATGGCCTCACTTGCATGTTGTTTTGAGAGATAGTACTCGAAAGAACATCAGCAATACGATTCTAAAGAACTAGCGCACAACCATTGGTTTGTAAAGGTTGTCTGAAAAACAGCAGTCGATGTTGGCGCGTGGAGGACAACATCATGAGATTACAAAACTTGTGGGCAGTGGATGGCATCGATTAATATGTGGGGACAGGGCAGGACGCAAGAAGAGACATACATCTTGTAAAGGCCTTAAATGGAATTGCGATTGTTACTTCTTGCTAGCGCAAGGTGGATAAGCGCTTGCATACAAGCGAACGACGTACACGCGTAAGCAAGTACACCGAACTTGGTTGCGTTACATGAACGCCAAACAGACAAGCGCGCTTCAAGAGAATTTGAGGTAGGTCGACAAGGAAGACAGATGACCTGCGGGGAGTAAATCCGAAGCTAAACGAAGATCTATCGTTCTTCATTTCGCCATTGTGGAGGGGGCTGTCCACAGTAGATTGAAGAACTTGCAAACTCAACCAACGTCAGATAATAGCGTTCTTCCACAATAAATGAGCCTCATTGTTTGGAAGGCAACGAGAATACAGTGCGAATAACTACATTTAAAACACCCTGATAAGTTCCACCTTTTCCGCCGATCCCGCGGAGCCCGTCCACGTGGGTACAGTTAGACTAAGCCTAACAGCCGCATTGCAAACTCTCTGGACAGCTTAAAGTTGGTGATGATACTCAGAGTACCTGAGAGCCAGCTTCGATTTTATTCTGTTTGTCCCCACGTACCGAGGGGCACCACCAGAGCATGTGCTCTAGATTGCACGTGCCCCTGCAGTGTGAGTAAAGCCACTTGGGATTGAACATAGCATTAAAGCCAGATTGGGATAGGAGTTAGTCCGGAGCATCCTAAGTGTCATCGCCCGTGTTCTCGTGAGCTTCTTGTATGTGTGGGTGGATGTGGAACCTTATTATGAACTTATTGTGCGGGGGCTGAAATTCTCTTCTTAAAAAACTCTACATACCGTAAATTTACACTCGCATTCCTGACTTATTTTAGATACACGTGCATGCAAAGAGAAGCGAGTGAGTGTGACGTAATACGCACATCTTAAACTTGGAAATGCTGTTACTTTTACCCATTCATTACAATAAAATATCTATCCGTAGAGGCGGCTAAAACGCAAATATGCGGTATGGGGATGTGTATTAGCGTTTAGTTACACACGCTGCACTTGGAACTGTGCGCCTGACACCGCAATGGTAACCGCAGAAACTGAGCGGCGCCACGGGAAGCTTAACAGAAATGCGGTCGTTTCTAAGAATCGCTAGCCCCGCCCGCTGTACGTGAAGCGCTATTTGCCATCGAAAATTTCAACAGACTGGGTTTAATATTCTATTCTTTTTCATAATCTATAACTATTTATTAGCATTTTCTATCTTTGTCACATTATCTAAATATCGTCAATGAAAATGGGGCATTCCTTCCTTTAACGCACGTTCAAAGAAGCATTGTTACCCGTTATTTTGAAGCTGAAAAACGAACACAGAAATAGTTTTTTATAGCTGCTATTTCATGCGGCTTACATCTTTCTTGCCTGCCCAGAGGACGACACGATTTGTACTCCCGAAAAGAACGATTCGACTGCTCCACCAGAAGTAAATGTTTCAACTGGGACCTATATCAATGCACAACCGCCTATTAAGCAGGAGTTAGCACAGATAAGCAGACGGGTTTGGATCAATATGGCCCCGTAGGAGTCCCCGGCCCAAAACAATGTCTGTTTCCCACCGTATCTGGTCCGCACTGCCGGTGCGATACAATCTTCTGAAACTTGTCTTCTGAAAGAGCGTAGCTTCGCTCCGACGCCCCTCTCGCCCTCTCTTCGCTCCACACGGTCAGTCCAGTCTACAGCCATCGCGTGCGAAGACGCTTGGTCGCACAAGGTATGGCCTTGTCTTTCGACGCGTCAGAGGTGAATGGCCATCGAGTGGCTCATCGTGCTCGGGGTGTGGCCGTGCACTTTCCGTCGGGCCGCGTAGCCAGCGACGCGGCGCTTCTCTAAACGCCTGTTGCGCAACCTTTTCGACGAAGTGGAATACACCTGCCGCCCGTCCTCGATAAACCGCGCTAACGGCCGCGTCCTGGAAGCGAGTGACACAGGGTGTAGGCGTACCCAGCCTGAGTCATGCCTGCTAGGTTGCAGAGAGGGGCCGCCTGGGTATATTCGACGCTTACATAGCGGATTTCGTGGTAATGATAAGACCACACGGGAATTCGAGGGTGCGGAGTGATGGTTGCTTTTCTCCTACAAGGAAGCCCTTTTGTCTCTACAGATTTGCCTAACTACTCCCATTGTTCTTCTATAGAGACGATTTCTTCCTTGTATGAATGCATATTCAGTGCCATGCGAGTGAGTATAGCCCTTCTAAAGCAACGTTGCTAGATACTTTTTCACTTGTCAGACCCCGTGGGGGATCGGCGTGAAATGATAGTCATCTGCTGTCTCCTCCCACGAGATGGCACTGCCGCCGCAGTCGGTTAAGGAAGCTTCACTAGGCAGCAGCGCCTACAGATCGAATGCTGCTTCTTTTTAGTTTTTTTTTTGTACTGTTGCTGCTCTCCTTGGTGCCAATTATTCAAAGAATAGCATTTTTAATTTCTGTTCTCTGTAAAAAAAAGCTAGTGCCTCTCCACGGTCGTTTAGTGATCGTGATGTTCGGCTGGTGACCCGCAGGTCACGGGATCGTATTCCGGCCGCAGGGGACGTGTTTGCGACGGAAGTGAAAATGCTTGAGGCCCATGAGCTTAAGTTTAGGTGCCCGTTGGAGAACCCAAGGTGCTCGAAATTTCCAGAGTCCTCCGCTACGGCGTCTCACATAATCTTATCTTGGGTTTGGAACGTTAAACTCCAACAATGATTATAAATGGCTAATGATGAATGAACCAGACCACAGAAGCTTCTTGCTCATGGAACCTTGTTTAGTGTACTGTAACCCAAAAACTGCTTTATAACAACCTCCCGCTTACATTCATGTCTCGTGATTTTTCGCACAATAAAAACGTGACGAGATTTGCCACTAATAAAAATTTTGAGTTGGCCACAGTTCAAGTAAATATGGCGAAAAAAAAAAACAGCGTTCACTGCAATTTCACTTTGGAATGTTTTGTATACAGCTATGAAATCTCTAGTTTACCTTGAAATCTTTAAAAATGACTTTAACATCATTATTTAGGCTAAGTCTACTCCCATCGTACCTCTTGTCAAATCGACTTTTTTTTACTTGTATCATTGGTTCTATCGTGCTGCACTTTTTATTGTTCCACTGATGTAATTGCAAAAGGTTTTATCTAATGTGTCAATTTTGCAACATATTCCATTCCTTGCTGTGTCAGTTATACCCTCTGTACTTGTATAACTAACCCAGGGTCCCACTACAGTTTTTTTTTTCTTTGGGACCCTCGCCTGTATATTTGTTGATCTTGCGACTTTTTCTGAACGATATAAACACAAACTGGAACTGAAGGAAGAAAGATCGGCTCTGCTGAGTGAGGCGAGCGCGAAGACGAGGAGAACGACATTCGGTAAAGAACAGCTGGCCCAGCGAATGGGCCGGTTTCTCTAGAATCCCACTGCCGCCTGATTCATGGCCGATCCCCCGTTGTGGGTTGAGCCACTCCTCTTGGGTCCAACCAACCAAACCAACCAGTAAATGAGTGCTGTGTCTGAGTCTCAATTACAGTACAAAAAAAAATTACAGCATACACACGGAGTGAATGATGATAAGTGGGGTGAAGATTCGGAGGGTTTTATCGGTAGACCGTCCGTCCGCCCGTCCGTCCATCTGTCCGTCCGTCCGTCTGCCTGCCTGCCTGCCTGCCGAGCGATACATAGAACTAAGCGTTCACGTACAAAGGGAGACATGCTTGTATAGACCCACGGCTTAAGGAGCTTAGCCCCTAAAAAA